CCCTCTGCATTTTATACGGTAAATCTTTTATAGTTACTTACTGAATATGCACTGTACTGATCCTGATATTCACTTGTTGTGCATCATATTATTTTTTCAATCAAATTGAAGCTGAATTTGGGGGGATATAAAATTACTTGATTGTGCACTAAAAGTTAATGTTAGATCTGTCTCTGTCCCTGCCTCTCTCAGTTTCATATTATAATGCGTAAATTTGATCTATCTCAGGTTGTGATTACAAGCATAAATATAGATGGTAATCTTTCCTAATTGGTATTCATTAAAGGGTACTTGCTTGGTGTACATGTGGAAACTTGTTTGTGCGTTTCTATTTAGTCTTACATCTGTTTTGCTTGTTGTACACGTGGAAACTTGTTTGTCTGGTTCTCTTTAATGTTGCCTCTCTCTCTCTCTCTCTCTCTCTCTCTCTCTCTCTCTCTCTCATGTTATAATGTTAGTTTGATATATTGTAGGTTGTGCTTACAAGCATAAATATCAATGGTAATCTTCTTCTAATTGGTAGCCATCAAAAGGAAAAGGTGAGTTCTTGTCTATGAATGAAATTACACTTAAGGTTTGGGAAGTTGGGCTTAAAAGTTGGTCATTCCAGTGTTAAAAAAAAATGTTCATTCTAGAATTTTCAAAATGTGGTCACTGTTTTGGGAACTTTTATTGCTGGAATAAATTTACTTGTCAGATTATGCTTCTTATTTGAATGCTTAGTTAGATATGACATTGTTGTGCCCTTTATTATTTATTCTTCCACAGAAAAAAAAAAAAGAAGAGGAAGATTGATTCTTTTCTTGTATGCCAAAAGCTTCTAAATGGTCTGTTTTTTGTACAAATTTTTGTGCTGACCTTTAATGATTCCTGCCAAAAGCAAAAACCTTTTATGATTATTCCCTAATTAAATAAATTTAGACTTTATTATAGTTTATGGCAAGATTTCTTTTGACAATGTGCTTTATACAATTTTTACTTTAATTATGTGATAGGGTCTGTCTCCTGAGCAATTCAAGATTGTGATTCCTAAAATTCCTGCGTATTTCACGGTATGAAAATTTCCTCTTTAATTTTTATCAGCAAAGCTGTATTCATATTACAAAGTAACATCTTCATAAATGGTTCAAACTAGCAAAAAGATAAAATTAAGGGACATAGACCTAACGAACAATATATATATATATATATATATATATATATATTGTTCGTTAGGTCTATGTCCCTTAATTTTATCTTTTTGCTAGTTTGAACCATTTATGAAGATGTTACTTTGTAATTATACAGCAGCATATTAGAACATAACCTGCCATATTAGCCTTGTTTTCTGATCCATGGTTTTTACAGTGACTTTCTAATCCCTTAATCGGATTGTATGCGGTCAGTTAAATGTTACCTTTCCAATTAAATATACCCACTCAACTACTTCATTCATGGACACCTGGATGGCATCTCATTTGAAGAAAAAAAAAAGGATTTCTAAAGGATGCTGATTTCATGTTTAGAGCATATTGTTAACCATCTTTTTTGAACTCTTACGAGAAAGTCATGTTTTTCTTTGACTTTTCCCATTCTTATTTTACTGGATAAAAATCAGGAGACGTTGTACCAATTCCCATACTGTATTTATGTTTAAATTAACTCAAGATTTTTGGGGTTTTACTTGGAGAGAAAAAGACAGGGAGGAACAATTAATTTATGTGGCCAAAACCAAAAAGACACAAGGGATTCCTTCTTGATAGTTTATACTGACTTCATGATGGATTTGATTTGCTATCTTACCGTACCTTATGGGATTGATGACTTAATTGTCCTAATTTAATAGCTTTGGATATGTAGTCCGGGACCCTGGGGTAAGATCAATTGACACTGGCATTAAACTTGCGAGTTTTACTTTTTGCAAGATTCCTTCTTTACTAATTCAAAAATTGGATTTAATGTTGTGATCCACACAATGTTTATTGGTTATCAAATCTCTGATAAGCAAGTACTCCGTCAAGGTTCTTCTATTCATAATGTAAATTTGTATAAAGAAAATACTAATTCTAAACAATATAGATGAAATACTGGATCAACTTGAAATTTGAGCTGCATGGTGAGCATAGTTAAAGCATCAAGTTGAATGATTTGATTACCAAAAAGAATCGTATATATGTATATATGCTGGCATCAATTGATCCTGTTGTTATCTAGTTTACACGGTAAAACCAGTTGTATGATTGACAAATATGTGCATGAACTTGTAGGGAACAGGAGATCTTACAACTGCACTTCTACTTGGGTGGAGCAATGTAATTCCTTTAAACTATGGTTTGGCTTTGATTCAACTCCTGAGCCCTTCTTTCCAATATAGTTCTATATCTATAAATGGTTGTTCTTTCTACCCAGAAATATCCTGACAACCTGGACAAGGCAGCTGAGCTTGCTGTATCATCCTTGCAGGTATTCCTTCCCTCCCCCACCCCACTTTTTTTGTTTCTTTAATTGCTAGAGTGCTCTTTCATATAGAAGTATTTCTGAATGATGTAAAGTTCTTTTGAATTCCACCTAGGTAGTATAAAACATACAAAGGTACGACATATCAATATATAAAGAGCATAACAGCATTATGGACTATTTTTGTATAGTGTTTGTTTAAGAAGAGTCACGATATATTTATATAAATATTTTAGTGGAAATTAGTTATTCTATGATGTGTCATCACATGTCCTGCTGGCTGCTACTAGGTATTGTGTTACACGCGACGTATATACACGGTAGTTGTAAGTGATATGCCTGATAAGCTAGATAAATGATACCTCATGGAAATTAACAATTCTTAGAAAGAAAGAAAGAAAAAAATTCCGCTTGAGTAGCAATTTTTCTTTTGTGAAGTTACCTGAACTTGGTCATTATTTAATTTGATTTACCCAAGTAAGGATAAAGTTTTGGAGGCCTGTGGGTGAATACAACTAGAATAGAATGATTGTTGCAGGCCCTGCTGGAGTTGATACAATCTGGATGTATTTCCCGTGCTTATTCCACCTGGTGGCAAAAGAAACTTTTACATGAATATATTGTTTCTGGTTTAACCTTATCACCGATCCCCTTATGTGAGCCATGGTTGGCTGATTCTGTGTTTACAATCAATACTTACAGGCTCTTCTACAGAGGACAATTAACGACTACAAAAGTGCCGGCCATGATCCCAAGTCTAGCAGTTTAGAGATTCGATTAATCCAAAGTCAGAACGACATTCGTAACCCCGAAATTAAATTCAGAGCTGAAAGATACACTTAAAATGGTTGATTTGTACGGGACATGGTATATGTAATTTACCGTGATCGTTTGAAAACTGTTACCCAATGCTATCGCCATGAAAGTTGGATACATTTTCGTTTCTTTCGAAATATGTACATGGACATAGACAGAGATGTAGCCAGCTGACAGATGCTCATCATTTTCGTTCCATACTTGTTACTTGTTAGGGCTTCTGGTTTTGATACTTTTGGTGGGGCAACAATTTGGACAAATTTACTGCTCTTGGGGTATCCGTATTAAGGATTGTTATTTTTTTTTTGGGCAGGAAAAAAAATGCCAGTCAGTTGAAGTGAAAAGTAAACTCCACGTTTAAGTGACTTTTGACGCACAAACATGTGGATTTTATTAACAATTACGACCCATGAAGTAATAAGTACTTGAGCATGGACTTGGAAACTTCCTATTTGCCAATAGAAATGTTGGCCTACTTCCACACCGGATATATCATACAATCCTTCTAGTGTTTTGAGAGAACATTAATATTACCCTCTGAAAGAAATAGAACATATATCCAACCCTTCTAGTGTTTTGATAGAACATTAATATTACCCTCTGAAAGAAATAAAACTTTTAAAGGAATTATTTTGATTAAACCATCTTTTTTTCTTTTCGACTTGCCTACTTGAATTGTATATTTTGAATATCAACAAATCACATAATATCCTTTGTCTAAAGAAATGCCTTGAGAAAGGGCAGATGTATAGAACCTTTCAATGAGATAGTGCTTTTTCAACTCTCTCAAAATGGAATATATTCCAAACATATATGCCATGGTTCCTTACTTCGCCAGGATACAATTATCTAAATTTTATATTTTTAGATACTTTTTCAAACCTGAAAAATTATATTTACATATTTAAGTGACTTTTTGACACACTTCTCTCTCTCACTGTGACTTTGATTGAGTTGCTATCTCCCTTCAACACCAACCCAATCTGTTATATTATATTTTATTTATTTTTCTATATTTTTTTTTAAAAGTTATGCCTGAAATTTTCTAAAAAAAAGGTGCACCTATAATATCTTTATTTAAAAAAAAAAGAGGTATTTAATTATATACCCATTCTTAGCATTAGTGATATAGATAAACCCTACACCATTTAATTTCTATAAACAAGCCTAACAACTGGCCCTATTGAATTTAATTTTGATTATTAAATTATGTTGAGTGTTTTGGGGTATTTTTATGAGGTTTCGGGGTTGGGCTTGTTTTAAGAAATCGATGACAGTTTTGTAATTTAAAGGAAGTTCGAAGCCTCTTTGTTATGTTGTAAATGAACTTTTGGTGTGTTTCTAAAGACCATTTTATATAGGATTTTTTTAAAATAATTTGGATCCCTATATTGGGCATAATTGTGAAACTCCCAAAAAAATATGTATAATATCTTGACTTTAACATTACTCCCTAAACCCTCTTTTAATCAACCATAACCATAACCAAATTATTATTATTATTGTCAATTTTACATTGTGATATGATCATTTCTATGTTGAGAATAATTTAAGAATAATTTCTGTAAATATAATTTAATTTAGAAATGATTTAGCTATTTGATTATCACAATGATCATTTCTATGTTGATATGAACTAATGTATGTGTCTATTTATTTGATGATAATCGAAAAACCAAAATGATTCTAGGTTTTGTTGGCTTTTCAAAAAAAAATTATTTTAAACATGATGATAAAGTGTAAATACAAATGAGTATTGGGGCCATTTTTTCAGGCCGTCAATGAAAGAGGCTTCTGGACGCTTCACATTACTTATAGTTCTTCTAACAAAACCCAGAGCCATAATTTTCAAATCAAACAGAATAAACTTGTCTTTCCAACTTTTGTTAAAATGGATGCTGAAATGGCGATGGAGCTTGTGAAGCATGGCCTGACGCTTCTCTTCCTCGACGTTCCTCAGCACACCCTCGTCGGCATTGATACTCAGGTAAACTACTACCAACCCAGCCTCACATGCTTATGCTCTGTTTTGTTGCCCAGAAAATTCAAAAGAAAATGGAAACGAAGAAAATTTGGATTTCTGCCTATAACTTAACACTTGAACACTTGGTTCGCTGTATCTTCAGATGTTTTCAGTTGGCCCTGACTTTAAAGGCATAAAGATGATTCCTCCTGGTCCTCATTTTGTGTACTATAGCTCATCCACCAGGTTACCTCTTCTTGCTCATTATGTGTTTGTTGAATGTCGGCAGAGAATAGACTGACTAGTTGCTCTTCGTTTACTATTGAATTTTAATTGTTTTATGGGTGATTCTATTTTGTATTTGTTTATAATATGTTTGGCTTTTTTTGGGTACACAGAGATGGCAAGGAATTCTCACCAATTATTGGGTTTTTTGTTGATGCTGGGCCATCTGAGGTTAGTAACCAGTCTTTTATTATTACTTTAGTGGCCACCGGCTTATTGGGTTAACATGTTACAGTAAGTTGTTTGTGGCATGATACCAAGGCATGTGAGCCAGACCGACCTTTCTCATGTAACAGGTAATTGTTCGTAAGTGGGATCAACAAGAGGAACGATTAGTCAAAGTACCCGAAGAAGAGGTTGGTATTCATGTTGATTGTATCATTGTCTTACTCGGGGAGTCACATTTTTCAAAATATGGAATCAAAGTGATTCACAATGTTTGAAACTTTAGATTGAATTTTGTAACCTCAATCTCAAATAAGCTTCATAAATCTTAACTGCTAAGTAGTTAGAAAATATGGTCAATATCTTTTCAGGACAATCACAGTTTATCTTTTATTTATTATCTTGCAACTATTAATTATTTTTTTTGGGTCCAATTTTATTGTATTAGTGAGCTTTTACATTATAAAGGAAGCAAGAGGGAATTTGAGAATTTTTTTCCAAACATATTCTATGGTCGAACAGAGCACAGTAGTGATTTTCTCTGTTCAGTTTAGTATTTTGATTTCACATATGTATCATTTTTGTGCCATCAGGAAGAGAGATATTGCCAAGCAGTTCGAAGTTTGGAGTTTGATAGACATCTTGGTCCTTATAATCTAAGCCAGTACGGAGATTGGAAACAACTATCTAATTACATTACAAAGAGCATCATTCAACGGATTGGTAAGCATTATTCACAACTTCAAATTCATTCACAATTATCTTAGATTTTTCTATCAGGAGTTTGTTTGGTATCATTGCTTGACTTTTGTGGAACAAATAGATTTTATGCTTCAACTGCTGCCATTTGCTTTTCTCTCTCTCTCTCTCTCTCTCTCTCTCTCTCTCTCTCTCTCTCTCTCGCTCTCTCTCTCAATTCTCACATTTAAATTTGATGATCTTCAGACCCACAATGTTTGTATCTTTAATTTTACTTTACTTTTTTTTTTTAATGTATAGGAACCCACATTGTTTGCCTGAGTATTTTATCTTGTTATAACATGCAATGGGCGCATGCTATCAAGGATGAAAATATTGGCGATACAGATAGTATCAGGCCTTCAATTTACGGATATTTAGGGGGATATATAGATGTCGTTTTAGGTATTGAGGAAAATCGACAAAAAAGATAGATATTGGCATAAAAATGAAGTGAAACTTTCATAGGTATTAAGTACATTATCAATGAATGTATTGAACAAATAAAATTCCAAATATAATAAGTATAAGATATGCATAAGATGAAATGTACGTGTATATAATGCGCGATGAAAAGCCTGAAAATAAAATTTTGATTACAATGACAAAATAAAATCCATTGACAGAATAGGTACATAACCCAAACAAAATAAATACAAGCAGACTTAACACGACAAACACCACAAAACATGCAGACCGACCCATTAAAACATAACCCAACCCAACCCATTAATACATAACCCAATATATTACAACAATCAGACTTAATGATAAGGGAAATCATAGAATATTAGATGAAAAATAAAATTAAACAAACAAGAACTTGAGCAACCGGAGAGAGGAGAGGAAGAGCCAAAGATAGCCGAAATGATTGAGAAGAGAAGAAAAAAGAAGCTACAAAATATTAGAGCTTGGTTTTTGGCATTGATTCAGTGGCTGGGACCTTTGATTAGTTTCAAAATGAAGACAAATTTCTGGGTTAGTTGTCTAGTGTCAGTAAATATCGGGATATCAGGGTTATCGGGGATATATTGCCGATAAGGGGGAAGAAATAGGCTTACCCCTCTCTATCTGTATTGACACCTTAAAAAAGGGATATATCGTCCGATATTTTCATCCTTGCATGCTTTACAATTATGTAATAGACATTAAAAGAATAATTTTTCATTTGCTTAAGGAAAGTTCTCAAAGACAGACTTGGTGGGAACCTTAATTTTCCACAAAATACTTGTTATGGTTTGATGTGCGTTAAAGTTAGATGTTGGTGCATCTGCTCCTTGTAAGGAGTTAATATGATATTACTGCTGTGAGCTTGTAGACATGATGGAATAGTTAATGACCAACATTAAAATCTAGTGGTATCGTGAGGTAATAATACTTCTAAGAATATCCCTATTTAGCTTTTCCTTCTAATTTCTGCATAAGGATGGATATAATTATTCGTGTTGATACTTCTAGCCTAGTACCTACCAACACAATATAATACGGATTTTTAAAATAAAATAAAAATACTTCTAAGAATAAGTCTGCATGGAACTCTTAACAGGAAAATTCTTACAGGAGAAGTTATATTTATAGTGGCTACTTGGAACTCTACATTTTGATATTTCTTGGATATTTTTATTTATGTTGTTAAGGACTGCTTCAGATGAATTTTATCCAAAGGATTTGTATAAGATTCATTATTTTTATCCCAAACAACCTTTGAATTTTAATTGACTTGTACAGAACCCATTGGAGGAGAAATTACTGTTGCATCTGAATCTACAATGCGTGTAAACACTCCTAGCACAATGATGGAGAAAGCTCTAGATGAGCAGTTGAATGCTAGTAGGTGCTCAACACCCAGTGACAAGTCTCAGATGAGAGGATGTTACTACACATCAATTCCCCGTGTTATCAAACGAAAGGGAATCCATGGCCAACAACTTACTTCTTTGAATCTTGACAAGGTAAGAACCCCCTCCCTCCTCTTTTAAGTTGTTCAGTTTTTTCTAATGTTTTAAATTAACTGATTTGACTATATACTTTCACTAATATTTTTTTTTCTTCTTTTTTGTGGTCCGACTTTCACTGATCTGTTTAGACACAATTATTAGAAAGTGTACTACTAGAAGATTATGGAGGTTCTGAGGACTTGCTTCTCGCAGAGCTGCAATTTGCCTATATTGCATTTTTGGTGTGTAAACAATGCAGACTCCTACAGCATTTTATGTTAAATAATAATCTAAGAGCTTTACAATAATTTGAACTTATGCAGATGGGGCAATCACTTGAAGCATTTCTACAGTGGAAATCCTTGGTCAGTCTTTTATTTGGATGCACTGAAGCTGTAAGTATTGGTTTGATTGCCTTGTTTCACTTATTATTGGGGTTTGTTCACTCTACCGAGTTTGTGTACTTGTATTTCCTTTTTCCACATTGTACATCTGAGTTTAAAATTGAACTCCCCACTTATACATTCTGTCCCATACTATTAAAGTATAAACATGTGATTGATATGTTTGCATTAAATTTGTACCTCATGAGCGTCAACTTATGGTTGTAATCTACTTTACAAAAATAAGCAACCCTTTCCCAAATCAGTATATACAGTCATTTTAATATGAATACAAGGAACTTTTTTACTTTTGACCTTTGATGGCGGCTCATTTGCATGTTTATGTGATATAATGTTTTCTCGAAAGTTTTTTTTAACAGATAATATGGTAATCTTAATAATTCTAAATCTTCAAAAGATTATTGTCAACAATCAATCTATTTAATTTATGTGCTAAGATTTCAGACATTATAGATTCACCAGCTTAAAGCTTTGGCACCATAGATTTACTAGATTTTCAGTTTTACACAACAGATCCTACCCTGTCTCTCACCAGTTATCTTTGGGTTGACTAGTGTTCTACTGGTACTAGCATTAACATTTCTTAGGAATGCTCAATTGTCAAATTTGTACCAGACTATAGACATAATCCGTCTTAATAAGTTTCTAGTTACTAAAATCTCTGCTGGATTAAAGTGAGGCATGTGGTCTGGTGGAGACAGTTGGAAGTAGCCTGGTAGGGATCCTAAAGAAGCTTTAGACCTAGAGCTGAGGTGTTTTATTATAATGTTGACAAACCCCTTGATGTTTTGAGAAAACAATTTCTTGAGTCTCACTGCGTATCTTTGAGTTAAATACTAGAATGAACCTTTTTTTGCTAATGATGCTTGCTTCATAGGTAGTTGATACTGAAATACAGAAAATCTGAAATACTTTCTGACAAAAGTCTAATCTGCCATTAATGCAGCCTTTCCGTACAAGAAGTCGGCTATTTGCAAAGGTAATGTCCAGAATTGTCCCTTTTTTAACTAAACTTTCTTGCAGTATAATATAAGTCGCATTCGTGGTGATCTGGGATACAGTTATGTAATTGAAAGTCTAGATTCCATATAGCCCATTTTGGGATATGTACTGGCTTTTCAGAAAGCTTTACATTTTATTTTTTTGCATAGTTATGCTCAAAATGTGTCAGTTGTTGCTTGGTTTATCAACCTTCATGTCTTTTCTGTGTGGTGCTTTATTATTCCAGTACAAAACAGAGACAATGTTCAACATTTAATCATCCTGGTTTGATATTCATAATATGTATGACCTTTTACGCACCCATTCTCCTGTCTAATTATTTGTCTCTTCCAAGGTGTTGAATAAGTTTTTACATATCAGACATATGTCAAACTATTGGCTAGTTTATATTTATTGTAATAGAATGTTTGTGTTTCTCATAAAAAGGAAAAGGATGTTTCTCATAAAAAGGAAAAGAATTCTAGGTTGATTGTGTTTTCTTTCCTGAGAGAGTAACGTGTTTAAACTGATTTCGTTTTCCATTAAACTTGCACTGAACAGTACTTGCCCTTTTCTTTTTTTTTTCCATTTCATTTGCACTGATAAATGACATGTCATGGGAATCTCACAGTTTATTAGAGTCATCTACTATCAATTGAAACAAGGACTTCAGAAAGATTGCTCAGACACGAACAGTGGATCAACCTTGCTAGATGATTCATGGTTTTCTGCTGATAGTTTTTTGCACCGTCTTTTCAAGGTACGAGATTTGGGTGCTTCATTCTGCTGCTGCTGTTCTTTTTTCATATTACACTGCCATGCTTGATTCATTTTTTTCTTGTCGGTTCTGTTGTCATTCAGTTTGTTTTTTCTATCAAATAGAAAATCAACAGAAAAGTATCATGTAGTCATCTTTCTCACATCCGTGGAACTTTCTGTTCATTGCAACTTGATGACTAACCTATAAATGGGATTCCAGGATTTTTTTTTGCTGGTGCAAGATGCCTCGGTTGTTGATGGAGATCTTCTATCATGGGTATGCACTCTAAGCCTGAATTTTCATGAATTTCTTTTTCCTATCAGGCAAAAGCAGACATCTGGATTCTACTGATATGCTCTCTTTCTTATTATTTCTGCGGTTCTTGTTTTCATCAGATTTTTACTTCACAGTTGCCATTGTATTTATCATGATATGCATGTGCAAACACACGCACAGAGAAGCCTTTATTTTGTTGCTTTAAACATGGAATGTAATATTATAATAAGTTAGGTCACTTTTTACATATGTTAAACACTGACTATTTAGCAAACAAGTGCATATTAACTCAAAACCATTTTATTGGGGCAAGGGTGGGTGGGTTGAAGATGGATGCAAGAAAGAAAAATAAATTTATATACTTTAGGCATGGGCACAAGGTTAGAATTTAGGTTATTGTTGTTTTGTTTTTATTTGTTGGAACTAAAATGTAGTTGATGGTTATTGATTTAATTCCATCTATAGAATTTATAGTATATTGTTGGAATATTTATAATGTTTTTAGGTACTTTGTTATTTTGGGTTACCTAATATAAATTTGTCTCACTTTGATTATGTTGAGTTTACCCTAATTTTCTCTCGCTCCGCTCGTTATACTAATCCTTCCTTTAGCCCTTTTGATGTGTTTTTCATTTAAATGGAGTCCTGACTTGATTTCTGATCCTTTACTTTGTTGCTATTGCATTGCCATTGATCTGCATACGAAGCATTTCTTGTCAAGTCATCTGTTTTTGTATTTGTTTCCAAAACTTTGCTTCTTATGAGAGATGGTAGCTCATCTGTGTGCTTAATTGTCGTCACTTTTCATGTTGCATTTCATATGAAAACTTGGTCCGTGTACTACAATTGGAAAAGTAATACAAGATATCTATGTCTAAAGTCATTAAAGAACCCTTCGAGCTTAAATTACTACCAGTACTTGTCTCTTTTTCGGCTAATCATGTCGAGGAATCCTCATTTGCATGGTTCTCATTCTTAAAGACAAGGAAACTCAAGGAGTTGCTTGAAAACAATCTTGGATGGGAATTCCAGCAAAACAGTGCAGTTGATGGGATGTACTTTGAAGATGATGACGAGGTCGGTATTTATTTATTTATTTTAATTGAATTGTGCTCACTTTCCCTACTTTTTTTTTTCTCACAACCTCTAACACTCGACATTTGCAGTTCGCTCCTGTGGTTGAGATGCTGGATGACCCGAGTTCTAGTGTGGCGCCATCAGTTTAACACTTAAATCTCACATCCTCTACCATTTAACATCTACAATTCAATCCTGTGGTTTAGATGTTGGATGACCTGGGTCGTAGTGAAACGCCAGCAGGTTACGACTTTGGTCATCTACAGAAGGCTTTAGGTCATAACCAGTGTGTGATCAGTATAAAATCATTGCACCTAGAAGACCTTTTTTTTATAGTACATGTAACCTTGTATAGTATCATAGTTGAAATTTCCATGTAAATTGATGAGGATGGATGCTATACAAAATACAGCACTGCTGTAAACTTTCCTTGCTAATTTTAGACGGATGGGACAATTCCCTTGAAATGCTTGGTGAAAGGTCTAATTATTTGAGATTCAGTTTCTGAATCTTCATTTACTAATCTTATTATATAAAGCTAATGGATCTCAAATGCAATGACGTACATAAAAAGGAACCAAAAGAAATACGTAAAAAAAAAAACAAAAAGTGGCATTATAGCTCCTGTTAGAATGTGGGGTATTAACCTCTAGAAGAATGGGGCAGTGATCGGAACCCACCCTAGGGCAATGCATCACCCGTGTGCCTGGCCATATATTAATCCACTTGGGTTATTGACCGAAATGGTCTCCCAATTTGAGTGCTTGATTCTGCTGCCGCTGTGAATTTTTCGTATTACACCGCCGTGCTTGATTCATTTTTTGTTGTCGGCTTTGTTGTCATTCAGGTTATCGTTGTTTAGTTTTTATTTGTTGGAACTAAAATGTAGTTGATAGTAATTTATTTAATTTCATCTATAGATTTTATGATTTGATTAGCATGTTTGATTGATAGTTGGTACATATATTTCGACCAAACAAAAAGGTTGGTACATATATAGGTGAAAATGAAAATGTCCTAAATCCCTTTACTGTTGTTGAATGAGCTTAAGAAGTTGGCACATCTTCATTTACTGATTTACTGCAACTTGTCAACTACTAATCTTATATAAATAAACCTAATGGATCAAATGCAATGCATTACATAAAAGGAACCAAAAGAAATATGTATTAAAAAAAAGTGGCATTAGCTCTGTATTAATAATGAATGAAATCAAAGAATGTACATCAAATTACATACAAATTTAGGATAATGAAGTATTACACCAAATTGTGAGAGACGCTTCCAAACAACCATATACAAAATTCTAACTTGAGAATCAAGCTAAGCAGCACCAATTATAGGGAAAGCCGATGGCTTTTGGCAAACAGCGGTTCGATTTGGAATGACAGGTCTTGAATCCCAAAGGAAGAATCTGTTGCTCAGAAGGTGACGACGACACTGAAGAGAGTTCCTTTACTGGATCCAGATTAGTCACAAATGGATGATTCAATAGCTTAGCAGCTGTGAACCTCTCAGAAGGGTTCCACACAAAGCACTTTTCCAAGAAATCTTTAGCCTCTTCTGATAACCAAACAGGAATAGTGGGAGATTTTGAAGCAATCTGAAGCATTAGGTCCCAAGGTCTCGCCCCGGCTTTCAAATCCCATGGCTTCCTCCCAGTCAACATCATAAGCACAACACAGCCCAATGCCCAAATATCAGAAGGTTGCAGCTGAATATTTTGAAGCACAGTTTCTGGAGACCAATACAGTGTAGTGCCTCCAGAACGCTTCTCCATAATCCTCTTTGCCAGACCCAAGTCTCCAATTTTGGGCACAAATTCAGAACCACCAGCCTCAGTTTTGGAGACAAGTAATATATTCTCAGGCTTCAAATCGCAATGCACATAACCCATTTCATGAATGTGCTTAACCCCTTTCAAAATTGCCTCTGTATACTTCCTTACTTGAAATTCAGGCAACCCCCCAGACTTGTTAATCAAATCCCTCATTGTTCCTCCATCGGCATATTCCATGAACATATTGAATACCTTATTGCCGTCAACACCAGCCGTCACATCATCTCCATAGCGACGGATGATAAACGGGCAGTTGCTAAATATGCCAAGAAGTGAATTTTCCCTCACCAACTCAAGCGCATCACAGTATAATGTCGACTTCACCGCGAAAATTGAGGGCAAAACATCGGCTCTCAAATTGGGTTTTTTGAACCAACCCAAATACACCGACCCAAACCCCCCTTTTCCGAGTATCCGGCCTCGAACCCACTCACGGCCGGCAACCGACAAGCTCTGTTCTTTCTTTGGCCTTGAACTCGAACCCATTGTTTGAAAAACAAAAATTGAAGCTTTCTGATGAAATAGGGTTTATGGGTCTAACAAAACGAAAGCAAAGAGACGCAGAAAAACAGAAACTGGGTAGCAAGAGAGAAAGAGAAGAACTCGTTGCAGCAGTCGGTGATCAACGAAGAAGACGATGAAATGTTGATGTGAAAAAGAGGGATTCGATTGCTAACGCTCAATGGTTTTTCCTCTGTGATTTGAAGCTGGTGAATGAGGGTTTTGAAATCAGAGTATAGTTTTCCTGGTTGTGTTGGGTTTATATAGCTTAACGCGTAACCTTCAAACGGTCATATATCTTGCGCGGCTTTCGCTTCCGCTTCAATTAATAATCTAATATAATATTTATTTATTTACTTTTGAAATCCACTGAAAAGATTTACTGAGGATTTGAAATATCTTTCGTAAATCTTAAGCCACCCTGATCATCACAAGCTGAGAACATCTCATGACCGTTGATTTAGAGGTAAGGGTGAGATTTTTGACCTAATTTGATTAAAATTAAATTTAAATATAGAATTTAAAATTCAAAAAAATATTTAAAAGAGCTCACGTGAACTTCACGTGACCTTTACTTACCTCAACAAAAAAGACAAAAAAGAAGAAGACAGAGCTCAGAAAAAATCGAGAGCAACACAGCTCCATTTCCCTTCTCCTTTCCTTCGTCCCCAAATCTCTGAATCTCTCTCTCTGCCTGGAATGTTTGATTTTTCAAAGTAGTTTCTCAAAATGAAGCGCAAGAAATGGTCGGAGCTCGAAGAGCTGACCCTTCTCACCAAGTACTCGGAGCTTCTCATCTCTGGGGCTCTAGCCAAGCTCAAAACCCGTGAGAAAAAATTCAAGCCCATAGCGGACCACGTGAACTCGGTGCATCATCTTCACGACCCAGTAACCTTCCCTTTCAAATGGTCCTGGCGCGACGTCTCGATCAAGGTCCAAAACATGCGCCACCAGTACCTGGGTGTGAAGCAGAAGATCCGGGTCTCCAAGGACGAGTTCAACTGGAAAGATGGTGAAAACCACTGGGAGAATTTCTTGAAGTACAAAGAAGTGTTTGGGGATGTGGAGCTTGATGTTAAGGGCAAGAGGGCGTGCGAAAGTGAGAGCCTTGATGTTTTTGGGGATTGTGGGGACTTGGGGTTTGGGATTGACTCTGAGGATTTAGAGGAAGAAGAGGACGAAGAAGAAGAAGAGGAACCATTGGAAGATGAAGAAGAAGAAGAAGACGGTAGCGGTGATGGCGATAATGGTCTCGAGGAATTGGGTAGGAGTGAAGGTGGTGAATTTGGGGGTCAGAGAGAAATTGGGGATGTGGGTTTTGCTCAAAAAAGGAAATTGAGTAAGGTTGGATTACATAGGAGGTTGGGGTTGGTCAGTGCACAAGTTTTGGACTTGAGGGATGTGGTGGTGAAGAGGGAAGAGAGGAGGAGAGAGAGGGAGTGTAGGAGAGAGAACAGTGAGGCTGAGAGAGAGGAAAAGAGGAAAGAACTTGAGTGCAGGAGAGAGAAAAGGAGGAATGAGAGGGAGGATTGGTTGGAGGATAGAGAATTGGAGTTAGAAGAGAGGGAGGTGATGTGGGCAAGAAAGGAATTTGAGAAAAGGTTGAGGCTAGAGAGGGAATTCGATGAGGAGCGGCGTAGAAGGATGAGGATGGAGGAGAAGAGGGAAGAGGCAGAGTTGGAGTGGAGGGAGAGGTTGGTGAGTTTGCAAATTGAGCATGAGAAGCAAATGATGCAAATGCATGCTGAAGCGTGCCAGAACCAAATGCAGATTCTTGGAGTCATGGCTAGGCTAGTTTGTCAATTTTTTGGGTCGGTGAATGATGGGCTGGGAGGTGGTTTAGGGGCTTTGCCGCCTCAGGTTTTGCAGAATTTGCAGCATCCGGGGGATTTGGGCCACAATGGGAAGCCGGAGGCCAATTCACCTTCTGAGTTCCTCTAGACTGTAATTTACACGCTTGCCACGTACTACTACTGTTATACCTCTAGTGAAATGTTAATAAGTTGAGTCCTATCATTTTTTATTTATTTTTTATTTTATCTTTGTAGTACGATGATCGAAAACAATGAATTCTTCTTGATGCCTATACTTGCAGTGACTATTCTAAATCTGTAACGATGGATATATATATTCTCTATATTTTAGAATGTCAGTCTTTTTCAAGCAGAAGTTACCTATATTCTTTTGAATGTTCATCCTTTTTCTACTTGCTGTATTTTTCTGTCATATTAGTTCTATCTGAAACTCATTAATGTTCATGTAATAAATCATACAGTTATATATTTTTGAAAAGAAGGAATCAAGTCTTGTTGTGCTTGTTTACTTAATAGGCTGTTTCATCTGTTATGTTAACCATATCATTGCTGGTTTTGCAAATTAACTATGAAAAGGTTTTTTTATTTATTTATAAATAAACGTTTAAAATTTGGATTTATCAATTACAACCATGAAAAGGTTTTTGTTATGGTCTGCTATTGTTGCTTTTCGGAAAAGAGGTGGTAGCCAATGTTGTTATGACACCAGAGTGCAGCTTCTTGCTTCAACCTTTGATTGTTTTACAGGGTTTCAGGATGGGTTTAAATATTAAGAAGAAAAGGTTGTGGTTGGAGAAAAACGAGAAGTATATTTCAGATGCTAGAAATCATTTTAATGTGGAACTATTACCATGCAGTCAAGTTTCTGAACTTAGGACTGAGTTTCTTCATATGCTAGAAACCACATGCTGCTCCACATACTTTAGAGAACATCATTATCCTCATAATGCAACTCCGATATATCATCATGGTGGATTCAACGCTCATCATGATGACAAATATCAGGTAAGCATACCATCCATACAATGCTTGGGCCACTAGATCTGTGCTATGTAATATATTTAAGTTTTTTCTGTTTCTTTTTTTTAGAGGAGTTGTTTCTGTTTCTTTATATGTATTTTGAGCCCTTTTCTACCAGCACCTTGATTGGTTTTGGTTAATGGAAGTTGTGCCTGTTTCTCAACATTCAACACTGATAATTACATAATCCTTGGTAAGTCAATCATGTTTCTCTTTCGTACCTTATCTTTTCACATAACATAGTAATATGGTTCAAGCAGACATATATAGTCTCTTGTGTGGCACCCTCTATGAAATTGTTTTAGTATTTGTGATAGGATAAGAGTCTGAGGCTTAAAGGATTTAAAGCTAGCTTTTATTCTCTTTTTCTCTTCCTCTTTGTTGTTTCAGTTTTGTTTTATCCTTTTTATTATTTGTTTATTTCAATCACAGTTTGGGAACTGCATGCTTGATCAATGTCTGTAAAAGTTTTATTCATCTGTGAAAAAACTGATACTGTTGTTTATTGGGTACGACTTTTGCAAAACTGCTGGAATCTGAACCCCATGGATATAAAATAAAAAAAAAGGGTCCCTGGAATGGATGCAATTAGTGAAAGTCTCAATCTGAAGTTCTTCCCTGTTTGTCCTGATTGCATACATGATTTATACATGGGGAGAATCACCTTTCAGGACATTGATTGTACTTCATTTGTGCATGTAGACTGAGTTTTACATTCGCTGGCTTGGTGTCTGAATTCTAGAGGCTGCTGATGATACATGCAGATGTTGAGAATTGTTGCAACTGCTTAACCCAGGTGAGTGCTTTATATAGATTTATATGCAAATTCAGTGCTTAGAATAGAAATCTTTGTTATTACAATGCAATTTCATTTACATAGAAATCTTTGTTATTATAATGCAATTTCAGTTGTCCGTGTAATTTTAACAGGGAATGTGTATATAGTACATGCATCATCATTATTACAGGCTGTTTGGAAGGTAATTTAAATAGATTGGAAAAAATCTCCCTGTTTTCCTAGATTTCAAGATCTTGCTTACTTTTCTATCTCATTTTGTGATGATGGAAACTAGACTTTGTTTTCATAATTGTGAGGTTGGGCTTCAAAAATAGTATTCTTGGATTGTAACTGTAAAAACCCTGGTGTTATTATTTTAAATGACTAGCGCGTATGTAGTTTATGCGTAGGAAACGTGTTTTTATCTGTGTTGCTCATGTTACTTTTCCAAAATTTGGGTTGAGATAATTTCTAAAAGAGCCGCCTTTCTCTAACCAAGGATCTCAACTTTCTCTTATCTCTACCAGACCATAAACCTTTGACCTTGAGATTGAGATCAAAAGACTCTACCATCATGAAATCAATTATGCCCAGAATTTTAACTTAAAGGGTCCTCACTTCCTTCCACGGCAGTGTAGACATGATTTTCAGTTGTAAATACCAACATAATTTTTGTCCAGATTTCATTAGGTTTTAAAAGCAGTGTGTATAACCACTGTTCATCTGTGTTCAAATCATTGTGGGAGCTCCAGGCTCCTAGACTCTCCACTGAAGGTTCATTTGTCCATTTCCAAAGTGAAAAATTCTTTTTTAATTTTTTCCCCATTTTTCTTTTGCATGAAAAAAATAGCTTGTGTGTTTGTTCTTGTGAGAGGTACATGCTGATAAAGGTGCTCATGTTCCTTCCATCCTACTCTCACACCTCCTGTGACATCTTGATATGCGATTTTCTGGATGTTACCAATTATGCTGTTTGCCAAATCTCTAAAAGAATAATGGACTTTTATTTTCGGTAAACAGAATAGTGTAATTTATTGTACAGATCTTCAATGACAGTTATCTTCTATGATTTTTAAGAATTTTGTTTATTCCTTTGTCCTATCATGATGTACCATTTTCTTTGGGGCACAATCTTTGATCTTCTTTTGTAAAATATTTGAAATCTTATTTTTCTTCTCTAGAACTTGTTACTTGTTATCTACTTTGATCTGGTTTTTCGACTTGGATAGGGTTCTTATAAATTCATTGACATTGGGTTGTATGGACGTACACTTTGGAGCTTTCTTAGATGGGTAAGAGGCCCTTTAGAGCTTAAGTTTTGGGTCTCTTCAAGGCCCTTGTAAGTTTCCAGGCTTCATCCCTCTATTTAGGAAAAAAAGAATAGGCTTCCCTTTTTCCAAAAATATGAATCTAATAGATGCACATTTGTCTAACGAAATTAATTTTATGCCCTGATTACTTGGGGAGGTTCTGTTCAATCAAGTTTAGTAGACAAGTAACTTTCTCCCTCTTTGGTTGTATACTTTAACCTTGAAATTAGTCTTTGGAAATTCCAGTGAATCAGGGATTGAACAAATCACGTTGGCGGTAGCTCTTCTTTCATTGTGACTTGACATGGTTGTTTTATCACTTGTGCCACTCCAATGTTTTTTAGCTGACAACATCATGTTTTTTTATTCTGTTTTCTTTTTGTTTTATTCTTTTTTAATTTACTTTAGGTAGTTGCACAGCAGCGTGAAATTACGACTTCCAATTCAAATTAGAAATGGAAAGACATATTTGATTGGTTGGTGTGGATGTGTGATAATTACACAGCTTTCATGTTAGATAAGTATCCTATTCCAATATGTGAATTATTTTCTATAGACCAAATTTTAAATTAATTATTGAATGGTTAGCTGTTCAAAGGATAACAGAAATTTTTAATTGTTTGTCTTACATCATCTTGTACTGACCAGTAATATAGTATCAAGACACCTTTGATGACTATTGAATATGGCATAACATCATTGACATCTTGTGATCCTTTTTCTTTGCCCTTTGAGATAGTGCACTCAGATTTCCATGAGTACATCAACATGGCTGAAAGCCCACGACAGTTGTGCCTGCCATGGGCTTCCAGCCTTTCTAGGTTGTTAAGCTTGTATGTATTGACACCATGTAGGCAGGCACTTAAATCCAGAAATATCAGTACTTACATTCAGGTTGGGAGATGGGTGGATGTATATTTTTTAAACATGAGCTCTTTGAATTATTAGATAACAAAACATTTCCATGTCAACCAGTTTTTGGTAGGAATGGTAGAACCTTGCTGGCTGCAAACTGGGTAGATATGACATTTCTTGTTTTTGCAATGGTGAATGAGGAGCAGTGTGACTTGGAGCATGCATTTTGTGAAGAAATTTCACGTCCATATGAATAAATGGATGAGAGTTGTCCACCTCAAAACACTAAAGCAGTAGCATGATGCATGTTCATGCTACATTTTCGTTGTGTCGTCCCGGAATGTCGGGAGACACACACATAAACATTTGCATAAGTTTGGTTGTATTGTGTTCGATTATATGTTCATTAAACAAGTTATATAATTAAGATCTGTTGGTTCTATTAGACATGTTTAGGGAGTGTGGCTGCTGCTAAATTATTGACAACTAATGATGCTAGAAAATATGGGTCAATTAAGAGGCAGCTTACATAGCATGTGTTTAGTGAAGATGATTTGTTAGCATAAATGAATGACACCACTGGTTTCAAAGTTTGATTCAAGTCAAAGAGCAATAAGGGTTTTGGTAGTTAAGGGAAGTACTTGATTGTTAAAAACAATAAATTAAGGTTGGCTGGAATAATATACTTTCCAACATCAAATTAAGGTTTAATATAATTGAGATTTTTGTTTTCTAGATGATTGATTGAAAGGTCATGTGAGTTCTAATAATGCTTAGGGGAAAAATCATTTTTTTCACCATGTGGTTTGGCTCAACTTCATTATTCTGCATCATGAGTGGAATGGTGCCACTTTTTCGCTGTGGCTTATTTCCTTACCTTCTTTGTGGTGCGTCATGTATCATCCTCACTAACCCAATCAAAAGTTTGCAAAACATTCCCTATTAATGATTTTATGGTGGATATGATAAAATTTTACACCCCCTCCTAATCCTCAAATTTGTTGCAAGTGCAAGTAATTGTAGTCACTAATGCCTGTCTAGCCAACAGCATAAACCATAGCTGACATTTTATAATTGGGTTCTACCACAGGGTGGTAAAGGGTTTCACCTAAAGCTCTTTCCCGTTTTAGCTTCTGCATAAAAGGAAGTGGTATCGACCAACCACAGTTTCATTTTCTGCATTTGATTTGTGGCTCTTAGACAAGTTGCTTTGACTGTTTCAATACATTATATTAATATAAGAAATATTGAATATCGAAACAAATGAACTTGTGAGCTAGGGACAGTAACTCAATAATTCTTAATTACATCTTTTGACTTGTAAACCAAGTTGAGATTTCCATAAGCATAGGCAGTTTAGACTGGTTGTTGCCAACTGTTGGTCAAATAGTAAAGGTAGTTATAATGCTTTTGGGAATTTCAGGGCCTCAGTACGTTCTATATTCCTTTTTCACGTTAATGAATTCTCTTGATTATTCATCACCTGGACTGTTGTATTCATATGATTGTGTAGAATGTGTAGAACGATGATTGATTCAATTTGATGATTATTAGTTCTGAATCTGCTTGGACATTATGCTGCATAATCGGCAAGAAACAATAGAATGGAAATTGTCTGTTTTTTCTATCTGCAGAACTCTGAAAGGTGACTGTTAGATGGAGCAGGTTTCATGGCCAACCGGTCCACATAAATGTGGATCAGATCCTTCTAGTGGGTACATTTGACAACGGGTGGTGTTAAATTAAACATTATGAAAGTTGAAAAATGAAAATCAGGACACTGAGAAACTGAAAGGGGGAAACGATAGTGAATATGGTGGCCCCTTGTAGCATTAAATGTGTAGCCTTTTTCCATTAATTTTTATTCAATTAATTGGTTTGAAATCTCTGTCTTGTAATTTGTTTGTTCATGCATGTTAATCCTGTCGTTACTAGGACTGTTTGTGAAATAAAGAGTAAGAATTCTGCAAGATTCTATTGTGGCAGCTGGGAGCAGCAACTGTTACTAGGTAAACATCATCACACCTTCCATCTATTTTACACACATACAAATCTAATGATTTTATTTTTTAGGTGAGTCTGTACTATTAACTGGTTGTTGGGCTTTCATATCTTGTTTAACAATTGGTTTCATCCCCAAGGCATTAGTATGTTTTGAACTATTGGATTCTAGACTTATTATCTTTTTCACCCACCAGTCTTACATCCGCAACTTCAACACCCAATATCCAATATCCAGTTCTAAAAGATTAAAGCCCTACAAAATGTATAGGTCCTGCTTAAAACCTCTCTGGCTGAGATATTGCATTTTGATATGTATTTTAGGTAATTTTCTTCTGTCATATATCTGGATGAATATCCATTCGTGCTCATCCTTATCTTACATATGTTCCCCACTTGCCCCCCACCACCTCTGTGCTGCTCACAGCTTCATAAAATTTCACTTTTGTAGTTAGCAAGAACCTAAAATTTCAGTGCAAGTGGACAATACATTAAGATTTTGTTTGTTGTTTAGCCTTGATTTTGTACGTAGTGAATTCATTTCCTTATTAGCGGACCTCGAAACCTTATCAAGATTATACTAAAGGCCAAGCTGTTGAATGTTTCCTTTTTGGTACTTGTGTTTCGGAATTTTTTACTGGTTGTCTTTTTAACTTTAACACTTCTTGCTTCACTTGGAGCAGAGATGCAATTTATTTTATTTTCTCTGGCAGGTGTCGGAGTCTGAGGTCCTGGTTTCTTAGGATTCCTTCCCTTAAAAATTTCTGTGTATATTGTTTACTGTTGTTTCCTATTTCTATTACTATAAAACAATGAAACAAACTTGTATGCCTCGTAAAAGTCACACCTGTATTTCTAATGGGAAATCTGCCTCTGCTTTCAAAATTTGTGTAGGTGAGGATAGAAAATAGAAGAAAATGAGCCATATGAAATGGTAGTTGAATATGTTGCTAGGCCTTTGGCTTCGATGGTATTGGGAATTTGGGGTGGCTTGAGAGAATGGTAGGTCCCAAGTTTTGATGAGACAAGTGAAGATTGATTATGAAAAAGATGGTTGCTCCTGCTTGGATCAAGTACGAGACTCATTGAGATGGTCCCTCCTGGTTTAGAAGACCCTGCACAGTATTTATTTCTTTATTTTTCGCATGCACCATTTGGTGCGGTGAAGAGATGGTCTTGGCTTCGAGCGAAAAAGACCATTTTATCCCTTCGGGCTCAAGTGAAGTGACAAACTATCATTTCTTTCTTGATATAAAATATATTATTTTATTCATCATGGGACATTGTATTGCAGTAGTATTTTGTCAACCTTATTGAGGAGGTCTTTTTAATTCGAATTAAATTAATCCCATGTCAAGAAGGGTGCCATAAAAAGGGGTGCATCATGCATGAGTGTAATGTTCCTATTATGTAAGATGAAGAATTATGCCTATGAGTAAACTTCTGGGTTGGGAGGACACTTTTCTGGGTTTGTCGGAAATAACAAAATGCAAAGTTTTTCCTATTCCATATATTTTTTTTCCCTCGATTTGCTATTGTTCTTTTTTCTTATAGGAACAACTAAAACACATGCAAGAAGTTATACACACAAACATGGGAAAATGTGTTCTCAAATTATACACTAAATATCCTAACCTAAACCCCATAAGTTAATGTCCAAGCTCGTTTAAATTGAAAACATCTCTTATTTTTTAGCAATAAAAAACAAACAAGGTTCTGCACAAAGTCACCATAGTTAGTAAACTACAGGATAAGATGTACGTGTCTTATTCGACAAATTACTTAAAATATATATGTACGTGTCTTATTCGACAAACTTCTTAAAAAATATACGGTGTATTATTCGGCCAATTTCTTATATGTGATCGAAATTTACATTTCCATTGCAACATTTGCTTGACAATAATGTTAAGGGAAATTCTGGTCCACTTCGGGCTATTCTTTATCATATCGTATTGATTATCTGGAATTAATAACTGTCCTCCTTATCCAAAAAAAGAAATTGTTAAGGAAAATTCTATTGCCACCCCGAATTTCTTTGTTCAAACCACCCCTTTAATTTCAGCCTAACGTGTCGATTTTACCCAACCATCACTTTCTTTGCTTGAGCTAATAGCCCGCTGGGCCCCCTGAAAGGGAAAGAGAAAAAGAGATGTGAGGGAGGGATGGGAGAAGGGGAGATGGGCGGACCGGGGGGTTGTGGTCGCCGACAGCAATTCTAGCGACAGCGGAAGGTTGGGGTGGTCTCAATAGGGGTAAGCTTGGAAATTTGGATAGGGGTAGGTTTCCATCGATTGGGTGCGAGAATTAAAATTTTCAAAATGTTAAAAACTAAGGCAAAGAAATTTTGCCCTTGTAGTGTTCTAATTTCGATATGGATCCTCTGCTATGATTTTCTCGGCTATGATATGTTTAACTTTTGTTCTCCACACGTCACCTTATTAAAATTTAATTTAATTATAAATTAAATTGGAGACATTATCCTAGGCCTGGGCGCGGATCAATTTGGAACGGTAAATGACTCTTCCGTTAACCAAACCAAAGACTTCGGTAGACCATTTTCTCTTTCGTTATCCAAACTAAAGACTTCAGTAGACTTCGGATTGGTTAACCTAACCAAATTATCTTTGTAAAATATAAAAATCCAATAGTCTAATTCATCACAGTATGAAATCAAATAACTTAGTCACTGTACCATTTAATATGTACTCAAGATGTACTGGGAGCCACTTGCTCTTTCATTTGGGAATCTACTCCTACACCATTAAACAAATTATGAAAGTAGAAAATGGAACACAAATGAACGCATAGGATCATGTGTCTTGAGCCACTAAAATTAGAGTTTAGTTACATTTTAAACATTTGAATCATCAAACCCCCCATTTTGTTTGTGTTTGTTGTTTGAAACTTTGAGTGTTCTTTTTACTGAATTTTGTACACATATGTAATTGATTTTGGCATTTGGTCCGCATTGGGTTCTTTAGTTTTTCATGTTGAATCCAACCATATAAAGAACATAAAATTTAGATCAACGGTTGGAAAATTACAGGTCAAAAACGGGACAAAGGTCAAAACTGGAAAACAGAAGAAGTTCATAAATTCATCTGTAACCTTGAAGTGCTACAGTACCCGGGTGATAAAGAAGTGATACAATAGTGATAAAATAGTGATACAGAGCGATATAGGAGTGATACAAAATGCTGATTGTGTTTACCTTTGGTTTCTTGTTTTGTGTTTAAATAATAAAATAAGTATAAATATTGGACCGGTACGAGTTTTCGTCGGGTTAGGGATATTGTTACATGTTAACCAAACCAAACATTTCGGTACGGATCGGATCAGAATAATTAAAATTAAAAAATAATTATTTAACCAAACCAAACCAAACCGTCGGTACGCGGATAATTCGAATGAGATGCCCACCCCTACATCATCCTTAAAATAAAAACCCAATTTACTCCTAATTAAAAATTTAAAAATAAAAAAAAAAACCTAACTTGACTGATGCCTAAACTTAATGTCTCTAGCAGTTTTTTTTTCTTTCTTCTTCTTTCTCTGCACGTCTCCCCCCACTCCCAAAATCTTATCGCTCATCAATCTTTTCGTTCTCCAATCTTATTACACAAAAGCATTCTTACCAAGAAAAGTATGAGCATAATAAGAATCATTTGACACATCGAATAAGGAACTAGCTCCAAGGGTATAGGAAATTGAATCATTAAGTTCACCCAAATAATAGAAAACCTGGAGTGAGAAAGCACATAATTCATGTATAAAAAATATAGAAGTAGCAAACTCTACGTATTCAAAGAAAGAAACAGGGAATTTATGCCCACAAATGATGAAGAAAGCCAAAGTCTTCAAAACCTAATGTCAAATACAACTAACTCTGTGTTCTTCTACAAAATCTGAAATCAATGGAAGTTATAACACTCATATTATTGAAAAAACTTTGGTTTATGCTTGGGTAAAATTTTGGGCGAAGTTACGTTTCGTGTCAACCAGTATGAGACAAAAATGTAAATTTGAACCACTCTAAAAACAAGAGTAAATTATAAGAAGAAGAAAAAAGTATAATTTGATGGAAATTGCTTAAGCATTGTTACATGTACTCTCTCTATAAAAAAAACCCTCCTAGAGCCGTTTTCACTTTAAGGGGGAGGAAGCCACTGTTCTTCCTCCCCTCTCCTCTCTTCTCTTCCTTCCTCTCTTCTCCCCTCATTTTCAAAGATAAAAGGTTTTCCCTATTTTCTTCGTTTTGTTATGATTTTTCTCCAATCATCACAGGCAGCTGCGTTTTGGCTTCATATCTTCACCTGCGTTTCGGCGTCAGATCTCCACCACCATCCTTTTTGCAGTTTCTTTATGTTCGAAATAAGTCACAGAGACTCTTTGGGTTCTCTATGTAGTTTTCACCTCTCCCTTTGTGAGAGCTTTTCACCTCTCCTTTGTGAGAGCTTTTTCAAGCTTTATCTCTTTTTAATTGTTCTGAGTTTGCAATCTTAGTTGGGATGCCTATGCTAGAGTTTCTTCGATCATGTGTGATCGTTAGTAGAGGCACTCCATATTGTCTTAATTTTGATGTTAGATCGCTTTGTTATTGTAATGGCGCTTGGCTAATGGTTTTTTTGGTTGAATTATGAATGCAATCCAAGAATTTCTCAACAACAAAAAAAAAAGAAAAGAAAAAAAAGAGTAAACCACGTTGTAGAACTCAATATGATAATGCAACATTGGCTGTCAAAAAATTGAGAATTTTTTGAGATTTTCTATTTAAACCCCACACTTCTCTTTGTTCACCTCATGTTCCAAGTTCACCCCAACTTCTAATTTACATTTTCACAATTTCTAAGAAAACCCAACTATCTTCCCAAACTACCCTTAAATACACTCCAAGCTGAAAATATAAGAAATAAAAGAGTTTTTCTATTTGAACCCTACACTTTTCTTTGTTCACCCCAATACTTAAATCATTAAACAATATTTGTAGTATACATGAGATTTTGTTGTTTTCACAAGGTTGTTTTTATCATGTGATTAAAAAGGTTAACAAATCAGACAAAGATGCTTGTGGTGGGGTTCAAACCTCAGACCACTGATATGCAAGTTAAGACCCTTTTTTACGGGATTAAACTCCATTAGCAATAGGATGTAGAGGAGTTTGTATTTTTCTAAAACTTAATATGGAGTTGTGGGGTGTGTGGGGTGTGTGTATAGATAGATGTGTACTTGGGTTAAATATTAAGTTGAATGACTTTTTTTGTCTTTTTACACAATAATAAAACTGACAGCTTAATAATTTAAATATTGAGGTGAACAAAGAGAAGTGCAGGGTTTAAATAGAAAATCTCATGTTTTTTGGGAAGTGTATAGCAATAATACTAGAGGGGTTTAGGGCTTTTGTTTACACAAAAACCATATAAGGCTTATGGGGTTTTACTTTAGGTTTTAATTTTCGAGTTTAGGGTTTTGTGGGTTTCGTGGGTTCATAACTGTGGTTTTGCTTTCGCTTCTTCTTGAGTCATTAACCATATAAAATCCCCACTATGATCTTGAAAGGAAAACAATAAAGTTCACAGTTGTGCATTTTCTTGCTTTAAAGGGTTCTGTAAAGGGATTCTTTCGAAAAGGAGTCGAAAGATTGGTCAAATAATACTATTTAAGGAACACATTTGTGAGACTCATTTTACATTATAATTCAATGACTCAAGTCGTTTTCTTTTGAAGTTTTCATTCAAAAATATCAGTTATAAATATAAATTGCTTAGTTATTTGATTATCATACCATTTCAATATATTTATCGATAACACACCATTTCATATATTAATTTTATCATTTCCATGTATTATTACTTTTAATCCTTAGTTATATATAATAGTAAATATTCAATTTAGATGATGAACTGATCGAAAGACCAAGGTCTATGATGATATTCAACCAGATAACGCTAATTAATAAGAGGAAAGGAGCTGTATGCGCATCAAGTATATATTTTATTCCAGAAAAAGCAGCACCGAACAAAATGTTGTTGGGTTGGAAACCCTAGTGATGATGCTATTTGTGAGTCATCAAGCCAAAAGCAGCCTTGGAACTATATATTACATTTTACGATCGTGATGATCATGATGAGGACCCAAATCCTATGAGCTCTTTGTATAACAATATGGTGGTGGATATGCTCTAGCCCTTTCCAGTCTGATGTGGTCATAATAACATTCTGAAGAAATTCTTTGATGATCTTATGATCCCTACGCTCTCACTTCTGAACCCGTCTTTATATGTATGTACAGTGACGGACCTATTAAGGTGCAAGGAGGTGCACTACACCTCTCCTTGCCAGAGAAACTATTTTAGGTGCTTCAAATTGCTCTTTTGCTCAACTCGTGTATAGATTACCTTATTTTCATTTTCAACATTTAAGTAAATGTCTTTGTCTTTTTACTTTCATTTATTTTTATATTACTCCATTTACTTAAGTTTACAAGGTAAATAAGGAAGCACCCCCCATTTGGATTCAAATAAAAATACTAGAAAATCAAATTCCCACCAAATTAAAATATGAAAAATCGGTTTTAGTGCAAAATACGATTTAGGCTAAAAATGATGGCTCATTAAGTCAATATATACTTCATACTAAAATCCCATAAAATCAAGTTTTCTTATTTGATGTGTAAGGAATAAAAGCTGCCAAAAATTATCTTGACAAAATAATTATTCCGAAAAACCATTTTTCATACTTAGTCAATATTGCACCTCTGCTAAAAAAATTCTGGGTCCGCCAGTGTGTATGTATGAATTAATGTATAATAAGGATACTACGAGTCACTTTTTTAGACTCACACGACAATGTGATATCGTGATACAAACTATCTAGTTTCTAAGTATCTTTCAAAAATTACGATGAAGAAAAATTATCAGTCAAATGAATTAACAATTTCTTAGCTATTTGATTATTATCCCGATCAAATGATGAAGTAAAAAAGTTGGGTACCTTTTTTCCTTTATAATGTTAATAAATAAAATAATACTCGCTATCCTTAATTATAAGCTCAATCATACATCCATATCATTGCAGATGAATCTTCTTTATGGCTCTTCTAGACGAACAGCAGAACAGAATATTATACATACAATTTCCATGACAATATGAAATCAAATTAATGAAGAACTAGGGTTTTCGTGAAATAAGAATATTCAGAATTTGAGAAAACATGTGGAATGGAAAGTGACGTATACTTAACGGTAAACAACTGACTATAAAGTCTTACAAAGAAGGCACACACACACACACACGACCTTATCTTCTTCAAGCCTGTATGACTTTGTAGGAGTGAGACCCACCTAAACAGCCAAAACCACCAGTCCAAGTCAACCTTCTCATTTCTCACCTCCCTCCTCTCTTCATGAAGCAGCTCTCGAGCACTATATCTACGCCCATCTTCTTCCTTTACATGAGCCTTTCTCCCTCTCTCTCTCTCTCTCTGAGCGAAAATGAGAAAACCTTGCTGTGAAAAAGAAGGCACGAACAAAGGAGCTTGGTCTAAACAAGAAGACCAAAAACTCATTGATTACATTAAATCTCATGGAGAAGGCTGTTGGCGATCTCTCCCCAAGGCTGCAGGTGTGTTTTGTGTTTGAACAACATGATTTGTGTGCATTTTTATGTTTGTATATAGAAATAATAATCTACTTTTTGTTCTTTATGTTCCAAATTATTGATGACTTATAATTTGTGTGATGTTGAATTATTAGGGTTGCACCGCTGTGGCAAAAGTTGTAGGCTAAGATGGATAAACTATCTAAGGCCAGACATCAAACGTGGAAACTTTGAGCAAGATGAAGAAGACCTCATCATCAAACTACATGCCCTTCTTGGCAACCGGTATGCACCATCAATCTTTCCTTCCTCTCTTTCTCATGTCAAATATTTATGTTGACCAGACTGTTTGACAAGAAGCGAACATTTTCCTACATATATGGCGTAATTATAAAGGTCAACTATATAGCTAATGGTGAAAGTTTCATGCATGGGCTGTTAGGTGGTCGCTGATTGCTGGAAGGTTGCCGGGGAGGACGGACAACGAGGTGAAGAACTATTGGAATTCTCACATCCGGAAGAAGCTAATTAAAATGGGCATCGATCCCAATAACCATAGGCTAAACCAGATCATTCCTCGTCCGAATCCTCAAAACGACTGTGTTTCTGCCGCTGCAACATCATCTGGATCAATGAGCAATATTAGTGCATGTACTAAAGCACCAATCAAATCTTCACGTGAAATTGATCAAAGGGCCTCACAAGCTACAAGTGTTCTTGAAGATGAAACTTCTGGTTCATCATCTCGTGACTTGAATCTCGACCTCACCATTGCTTTTCCTAATCCTCCACTTCAAGTTGAGGAAGAGATGCAAAAAAATATTAAAGGGTCCTTCACTATGGCGAGAGAAATCGAAACCACCCTTCAGCATTCACCCACTCTTGCTCTTTTTAGATAATACATATAATTTGGAGAAGGAGATGAATTGATCTCTAGCTAGCTGATCTTGGCCTGGAATTGGAAAAGGAGGGAATTACAAGGGGAATTATTGTTTGGCTGATCAAGAACTTTGGCTAGTATTGACAGATAGCTAGCAAAGACTAATGGAGGCACTAACATGGAGAGAAGGGCCAAACACTTCTTCATGACAGGCAGCTAGAATATTGATTCCATTGTAAAGAAAATCTCATTAGGCTATATAAATTCTTGGATGTAGCATACAAATTGGAGATGAACTGCAAAAATCAGTTGATCACCAAGAAATGAATATGCATGGGAAGGGAAATGTGTGGTGATTGTAATTTGTGTTCAGGCAGGGGAGAATTGATGTTGAATGACTAATAAGCTAGAGGAGTACTATATGGTACATATCTTATTTTTATAGGAGTTTTTAGTTTTAAAACTATGATGAGCAATTGAACATACATATTTTTGTTGCTTAATTATTCTTTCCATTTGCATTTCTTTCCCTTTTATTTTTCTCAAATGATAATTTTCTTTTATAATTGTTTCCTTAGTTAATGATATAGTTATAGATTTATGAACAATTTTAGACATTTCTTAGCATGTGAAAGTTAGGTATGTGAAGACTTGGTAATTCCAAAACAGGAATTGGGGTGAAGAGCATCTTTAACACCAAATCAGGGGGCTGTTGGTTTCCAGTCAGAAAGCACAAAAATCTTTCAACCATATATATATATAAAAGCTACACAATACTGATTTTGTATAGTAGTACATTACATTAATGCTTAATTTGAAAATCATGCAAAGCTATATATAGTTAGCCCTCTTTTACTGTATTTGTATGAACTAGCATCAAGATAATAAAAGTACATCTCGTCAACGGGTCTAGCACAGTGTGTGTATGAGAAACGATCTCCCTCTTGTAGTTTGAACTATCACTTTTATTTAAAAAGAAGAGTAAAACAATCTCATTAATGTCATTATAATCACTTAATTAGTATATTGTGTTATTCTATTTATTTCTTCACAGTTAAATGATCAAATGGATTCCGATTCAATTGATTATATTTTGAACGGATAATCCTTGACTGGTGACTCGATAATTAATATACAGTTCCGATCATTGGATCCATCGAGAGATGGTCTCAATACAATTTTTGTTTTCTCTTCTTAAAAGATGGAGATCTCCGTTGTTAAAGGGGCAGGGAACTATAGCTTAATGGGGTCTCCTCTAGATGTCATCAAACCTAGGAGTCTTTCATATGAAATGAACTCCAAGAAGTGCATACTGTAGCAACTAAACAATTGCTGATTGCATAACAGACATAGTTATCCGCCGTGATTAAATGTTAAGGAAAGTAGGCCATCATGATCAAAGACAAGATTTAGATCCACCAGTGCCTTTAAACATGTGCAGTTTCCTGCATTTTGATGCAAAAGTCTTACCATCCAATTAATCTATTAATGGTTGAAACCACTAGCAGACCCAGAAATTTTTTAACGGAGATGCAATATTGACTAATCAAGCAAAAGTCTTACCATCCAATATCTCCTTTTTCTGATTCGGTCACTTTCTCTCCGTCTCGTTCTCATCGGCCCATGCATCGCACATTGAGATCTCTCTCCCTCCCTCATTCTCATCCCTTTCTCTTTCTCCCTCTCATTCTCATCAGCCCATGCATCACACATTGAGATCTCTCTCCCTCACCCACTCATTCCCATCCCTTTCTGCTCCTCCCTCACCACTCATCCGTCTTCTTTCTTTAATGCTTCTGGTGCATTATTTCATGCATTGAAGGGAGGACTAGACCAGAAAAAATACCTATATTTCATGTGAATTGAAGACATAATATGGATATGTTGCCTAACTTGGAGGAAGAATTGAGACTATCTATATAAGAGGTTGATGACTAAAACTTATCCCCTCCCTAATTACCTTGAAATTGGTGGGATTATGAGGGATAAGTTTTAGTAATCAACCTCTTATGAATAGTCATCCCTCATCCTCCAAGCTAGACAACAATATCCATATTATACCTTGATTGCACATCAAATGTGGGCATTTTGCTAGTCTAGTGTAGAAACCACAATTATGTTAAAATGATCAATTTACAATTAACTTTGCAATTTGTCTAGTCTCGTGATGATGCGTAGCTAATTAATAAAAGAATAACAGATTCGGGCCGTCATTAATCATTTGGAGATAGTATTGCAGTACTATACGTATGCATATAGGTTTATCCTTCATCCTTTCGGAAGTTTCGATGTAAGGATTCCTTTACTAACACAATGCAGCCATCTCACGCAAATCGTTTACCTGTAACTATTCAATATCCTTTGAAAAATTAATCACCGCGGAGCATTTCCGCCGTCGAATCCATTTTGAATTTGATAAATGTATTGCTTGTGAAGTATGTGGGACTTGGCCAATATTTCGGGGTGTGTTTACAAAATTCCAATTTAAACAAATAGAAAACCAGAACCATGATTTACATAATGGTATTCAAGCAGGTTAGATCGAAGACTTATTATTATTATGAATTAACCTAAATTAAAGTTTATGTTTATTTCAGGTAAATGTGACTGTGAATCATACATTGGAAAATTAAAGCTGATAGTAAACTTTACTTAATAGTTTAAAAGATCTTGAGCCTCTTCACACATTGCCGGCCGATTAATTTTGAATTAGATGCTCACATCTCATTTTTTTATTATAATATATCAATTGTGTAATTGCGCATTCTATTTTTGTATTTCATAATCAAGAATAGTTTTCTCCCCTTTACTTAAAAAACAAAGGATAAGCCAACGGTGTCTAACCCAGTGGAAAGGGCCTTGATTCGCAGACCAATGGTATTAGGTTCGAACCCCCGTGACACCTCGACAATGTGTGTAAGAAAAGCCCCACCACCAATATCGCTTTTATAAATAAAATAAAAAACAAAACGAAACAAAAAGACAAAGATGGAAGACGGAAAAACCCTAAATGAAAATTGCAGATGTGGATGACAGAAATGAGACGAGGGGGTTATAATCTTGTGGTAATGTGATAGGTGAAGGCCGTTAGGTTGGTTAGCTGGTAAGGATTCGTTTAAATGCAGCAAACTCCATGCACAAGTTTTATGGGGAAAGGAGAGTTAGATCGATCTGTAAGCAGAAATATCGCTGCCTAAAGTTCTCAACAGCTCGTCAAGCCTCAAGGACTCAATTCCCGTACACAATCTAATTATAATGGTTCATAAATAATCCATAAATTCGAGGGTCCACAAATTGGCTCTCAGCTCACATGAAAGTCGAATTTACATGTGTAGCCACCCTTTCGGCCCACCAAGGATGTATTTGCCACATCAATGTCACTATACTGTAAGAGGGCTTTGAAGCCAAGCCAGAGCACTGCATGGCTGATTTAGAATAGGAGAAAGTCTCGGGTGTTTTCATTTCTATTCTTACACTATCTTTTGTATTTTTAATACTTTTTAATCAATTTTATTCTTTTTCTTTCCTATTCTACCCCTATTCTACATTAATTTCTTTTTACTTAACTTTTATATTATTTCTTTTTCTTTATACTTAATTTTTCAACTACACTCTATTTTCTTTTTCATTTTTTTCATTTTATTGAGTAAGAAATAATTAACACTTATATTTGTCTAGGCAAAATTACATGGTCTACCTGCTTAGAAAGTACAAACAACCAAGAATTGAAGAGAAAGAAAAAATAAAAAAATGGAATAGAATTCTTCTCGTAGATATAATTTGGGGCATTCCAAGTCTGTAGGGGAATCCAAAAGCTTGGGTTTTATTGTTGTGTTACATTGATGATGGAGAAATCCAAAAGCCTAGGTTTTGTTCACTCTAATTGATTGAGTGCCCATATCAAAACTTTAATGTAGGGTGAGGGTAGAATAGGAAAGAGAAAGAACACAAAAGAACAAAATTGATTAAAAAATTCTAAAATACAAAAGGGAGGTAAGTGGAGAAAATGAGAGTGGGAAAATGAGCTTCCTTTATATATATTAGCCTCTTTAAGTGTGCTCCTACATTTGCAAGAAATCTTTTTCTTTCAAGTCATTAAAAAATAGACTCATACAACAAAAATACTCTACACAATAATCCGCTTATTTTATTACATTTAAATAAAATCTAATTTTGAATTGGATGGTTTGTGTATTATGACATATTTACAAATCATGTCATCAACCCCTTTTTGTTGATGGATGTTTTTCTCTTTAAAAAAAATGGAGCTTCACTATCACTAGTAAAAAAAACCCCTTGCGCGAACAATTTTTGCGCGACGAAACACAATTCGTCGCTCAAAGTGACTTTGCGCGACGAAAATTAAACTTCGTCGCTCAAAGTCTTACGCGATTAAATTTTGCGCAACGAAACACAAATCGTCGCACAAAGTCACTTTGCGCGACAAACCTTTGCGCGACGAAGTGTGGTTCGTCTCGTAAAATCTTTACAAAAATAAACAAAATAAAAAATTATTTTTAAAAATCTTTGGATGACTTTGCGCGACGAAATAATAAAATTCGGTGCACAAAGTCTTGCGCGACGAAGTGTGGTTCGTCTCGTAAAATCTTTACAAAAATAAACAAAATAAAAAATTATTTTTAAAAATCTTTGGATGACTTTGCGCGACGAAATAATAAAATTCGGTGCACAAAGTCTTGCGCGACGAAGTGTGGTTCGTCTCGTAAAATCTTTACAAAAATAAACAAAATAAAAAATTATTTTTAAAAATCTTTGGATGACTTTGCGCGACGAAATAATAAAATTCGGTGCACAAAGTCTTGCGCGACGAAGTGTGGTTCGTCTCGTAAAATCTTTATGTTAGAAAAATATAATATTTTAAATGTATTATATTTTAAATTGACGATCAAATTGGTTCATTGTATTCATATAGGGTCAATGAGTGTAGCTGTAAAAAATCATCAAAATCAGAGTTGAAATAACCGTTAAATCGTGATTTTTCATTTATAACCGTCGAAAAGTTTTGTCATATTACTTAATCTCTGAATGTTTATTTTTTCCGATTTTTGGCGTATATGATCTCGAAGTGTAAACAAACAAGTTTGACGGTTGGATCATTGAAACTAGTTT